TTGTTGGGGTTTAACGGCGTTCACAACTGCATACGGTCATATGAGCGCGCGGGAGACATTAAACTTTTTTAATTGGTAGGACATTTTTAATTGTGCCCGGTTGGCGGCCGAAGCCTACTCTTATCGATTTTAGACCTCAAAGGGATCTTTAACGAGCGCAACTTGCACACGGGCCCTTGTTCGAGAAGACTAGGTGTTGATCTTTCCTATCAGAAGATCAGGGGTGTGGCTGAAAGACAGCAGTAAGAAGGAGCAGAGGAGTAGCAGTAGAAAGGTTCCAGAAAGAGTCAGGAGCCCAGAGGAGGGGGCAAAAGAGGTGAGAGTGTGGGGGCAGAAAGAGGAGACGAAAGCGACAGAACATTGCTAGAGAGCAGGAAAGGAGACAATTTTAGAGAAGAAAAATTTTCGGTCGCTACCTGGATTCGAACCAGGGACCTTTGAATGAGAGGCCAACACCTTAACCTCTAGGCCACGAAAGCCCCCTAATTCCCCTGTGGAGAGAATGTTTATTGCGTAGGCCCCTATCTCCGTCATTCGGGTGGGACGTTGAATCCCTCTCAGCTGCTTCCTAAATGGCCTAAATAGTGTCATTCGTGGCGTCGTAAAACACCCACATTAAAAAGTTCGTCCAGGAGAACACAGTGTGGATGCCTAAATAACCGTTTTGTTTTCACATTTTTTAAACACTCCTGCAGATGTGTCGTTTATAATTTTGACAGACAGACAGACAGACAGACAGACAGACAGACATAGGCAGGCAGGTAGGCAGACAGGCAGGCATACAGACAGACAGACAGATAGATAGACAGACAGATAAATAAATAAAGACACACATAAAGACACAGATAAATAGACAGAGGGATGAGTTCAGTCGAACAGTACCCCTAAAAGTACGTGTATTCTACATGCTTAAATATACAACTCGTCGCTCTCCAAGACTTACAAAGTTCTATCTGCTCATTACCTAGTTCTGAGAAATTTAACATCAAAGATTTTGAGTTTCACATCATGTCAAGCCTTTTCGAATGCAAATCTTTGAAAATCTTGATAATAACTCTGAATATTCTTACGTCTTTGATAGAGCAGATAGAGCATTTGGTGTCTGACCTCAAGGTCTTATTAACTCAAGACAGCCAAAAATGTCAGATACAACTTTGTAATTCTGAGGTAGTGAAATATGCCAGATACAATAGCGGGGACCGAACCCATCACTTCAAGGTCCAACAGCAGGTGGACCCAGCATAGTTCCACTACACCACTACAACCAACAAGAAGAAAAAGATCACACACGGGATGAGAGTCAAGTGTACACATTTAATATAAGTAGCAAAATCAAACAATCTGTACATTTTAATCATATTATTCTCAGAGAAAAGAGGGGGGGCGGGGGGCGGAAACAATAAATCAGGTAATGAGGGGCAGCTCATACAGGCAGGAAATCACATATTAAAACATGAAGTAATAAATGAAATAAAAACAAAATACAAATTTAAACATTATGACAATTAAAATAAATATTATTGTGTTTGCTTTTTTTTTTGTAGTATTTAAAAAAAAATTATCTAAACAAAAAAAGAATAGGGTTTTTGAGGGGGGTAGCATACAAAAGGGGTGGGGGGGGGTGTTTCTTGCTAGACTATATTATTTAACATGTTTTAAGCCCCCCCCCCCCCCCCCCCCAACAGACACACACGGTTTAGAGGCAGGGGCTGCTTTTGATCCTGCCTAATAAATATGATGGCTTGCTCGAATTAAGAGAGATACATGGGAATTGAACGCACATCTTCTGTGTGCAACTGTGGAGAGCCTAACCACTTTACCATAAACTCCGGTAAAGCGGACTGTTCCTATCCCCCATTATTGCATTATGGGCTGACAATGAGAATGAAAAGTACAACCCCTCCATTTTTTTGCTAACAACTGAATTTTGGAGTAGAAAAAAAACCCAGGGCTACTGTATACCTTTTCTTTGAGTGCTCCTTGACTAGAATTCTTGATTTAAGAAATTTTTCAAGAAATCTCCAACGTCAATTACCTCGCGAAAGGTTAAAAGGAGTGCAACTGCAATATTAAATTATATACTGGACAGTATCTACCTGACTGAGCCATTTTTCCTGGTCATTTGTGTGTACGAGTGTATGAGAGAGTGTGTGTGTGTGTGTGTGTGTGTGTGTGTCTGTGTGTGTGTATGTGTGTGTGTGTGAGCGTGAGTGTGAGAGAGAGAAATAACGAGGAGAAGAGACAGAAAAGAGAAAGTGTGCATGAATTATGTGTGTACATTTGTACATGTGTTTTTGTTTGTTTGCGCGTGTGTACCTAGGCGGTTTTGTTGTCTATATGATGCATGCCTTGCATATATTATATATGTATGCTTACAAGTATTTAAGTTCATATGTATGCATTTAATACATACATAACACAAGGTGACTCAAATCGTAAAATCAAAATGTTCGCGAAAAAAAAAGAAAATGGGCAAAAGCGCAATTTTTTTAAAGAGCGCTCAAATAAACAAAACAAAAAACAAAAACCCTATATATTATTATACAGTAAGAGTACAAAATTTTCTTCCCCTAAAAAGAACACATACAAAAAAGAATCTGCATTGGGAAAGTACTGAGACATCAATTATAGTAACTGAAGCCTTATTTGGACAGTAGCATGTTACATTCGTGAAAAATTAATTTTTGATTTTCAACAAGTCGAGAAATATTGATGCTCATATCAACAATACAATGTAAAGGGTGAACATACATGTCACATGTACTGAGGAGAAAGGCATGAACATGCACGCAGATGTGTGTGTGTGTGTGTGTGTGTGTGTGTGTGTGTGTGTGCATGTGTGAGTGTGTTGTGCGTACGTTTGTGAATTTGTGTATGTGTGTGTAAAAGTGTGTGTCTATGTGAGTGAGAGTGTGTGCGTGTGTCTGTGTGTGTGTGAGTGTGTGTGCGTGCTTGTATGTGTCTGTGCATGTATGTCTATGTGAGTATGTGTGTCTGTGATTCTATGTGAGTACATGTGTGTACGTGTACGCGTGTGTGCATGTGTGTGAGCACATGTAAGTGTACGAGTTTGTATACCAATGCATATATTTATATTTCATGTATATATGCCTGTTTGTCAACATGTATGGCTGTATGTATACATAGGTACAGGTGCATCTGTAAATTTTGACCAACATACTAGTACATAAAGGAAAAAAAATATTTAAAAAATCAATGTATTATTGCATCATATTCACATAGAGAGAGGTCGCTTTCCCAGTACATATATACACTTCCTTAACACGGACATCAATCAAAATGAACGAGAATAACACCCTAACATGTCATCAATCTTCTTTTTTTGCGTAAGAGTTTTACGGCATAAGGTCAAATTATAAGTGCTGAATACTGCATGCAACAACAACAACAACAACAACAACAACAACAACAACAACAAAGGGTAATGCACACATATGTGGCCTAACAAGAGAAATACTGAAATACTCCCACAGCCTTCATCTGAATGAAAGACATGATAAAAACTTTAAAAATCAGGACAAAGCTTCTCACGCTTGCAGGGACAACAAAAATAGATGAGTGTATGTACAGCAGTTTAGTTTGAGGAAAGCAAACACATCGACACTACAAGTCATTAATTGCTGGTAAGAGCATGGCAGACAGACAGACAGGCAGACAGACAGACAGACGGACAAACAGACACAGACAGTTGAAGCAGGCAGGCAGGTAGGCATACAGACAGACAGACAGACACAACAGAGGGAGAGGAAAGAAGTAGGGTCCCCCTGTGATGCCCCCCCCCCCCCCCCCCCCCAAACCCCCACCCCAAGAAGTAACCTACAACTGAACTACGACAAAATAGTTGGCCAGCACTTTTGTCCATGAGCTGAGGACAACAAATATAAGAGAATCCTACAGTATCAATATATGACATACTTACATGTGAAGAGCACAGCGGAGAAACGACGGTAGTCACAAACTGGAAATTGTGAGGGTGCCAATCTTAAATGCTTGTGGACTCATATAACTTCATATTTGTTTGACTGGTCGTTTATTGTTAAGTGTTGTTGAATGGGAAATCTAACAACAATAATCAACCAACAGTTGAACAGAAATACAGTAAAGAGTCAACAAGCATTCAAAATTGGTACCCTCATGATTTTCCGTTTGTGACTACAGTCGTTTTTCCCTTGTAAGTTGTAGTCTTCATGTATATTATTATTCAGTCATATGTCTCATTTTCTTTTTAAGATATTTTTCTTTCCCATGCCCTGATTTTATGCTGAATATTGGTACGATGGGGTATTGACCAAGATGGCCCAAAACAGACAGGGCTGGAGATCCTTTGTTGCTGCCCTAAACGCCAGATGGCGTAATGGGTAGTGAGTAAGTAAGTATTGGTACGATATTTTTAAATATTTTTTTTTGTCCCTTGTCCATTTCTATAATATTGACGCCAATTCATTCGTAGAAAAAGGTGCATATGATAGTGTCAAACAGTGCATTACATACACGTAACTTTTGATATGTTAATGTAGTAGTTTTTGTTAAAGTGAGATTGTTCGGAATAACAAAAAAAGAAAGAAGTTTTTTTTTGGTCATGCTGCTCATATTTTCATTGCCTACAAATCACATGAACAAAACCACAGGCCTTCTCTTTTGTTATAGTGCAGGACCAGGCATACGGCCAACCAGCAACGCCCTCCGAGCACACCCACACTTACAGGGGGTATTATAAACAGTAGAAATACAGTATGCAGTAAAGTCTCTCTTTCTCTCTCTCACACATGCAAACACATACATGATACATACACACAGAAAAAAAAAATTAGGGAGTGAGCAAAGCATTTCAGCAACAAAGTTCACCTTTCTTTTTTGTCCCTTCTCTTTGGCCCTAAGCACCACAAGCTTTAATGACATGAGAGTCTTTACCATTATATCCGCACAAACTATTTTTTTTTCTCTACTTTACTTGAAGTAAACACGAGAGACCTTGCAACAGTATGAGAAATCTCTAAGGAAACTCTTAAATCTATACAAAGTACTTGATTTGTCTATCCCTATTTCCCCAATTCTGTCACATTAAAACAAATCAAAGCTCACCAAATACAGTTGTGCACAGATAAGACAAACATGAAAAACTTGAAATCACAGATCGCTCGTAGAATTTGCCACAACCCGACTGATGTCTCTTTAATATTTTTACTATCGTTTGCCCGAACTAAGGATGCGTCAAGCAGATTTGTCTATCCCTACGAAGTTGAGTTATTGTACTAGCCACAGTTCACTTCTCTGGTTCCAGCCACATCCTGCATGATGTGAGTATGGACACGTTAGGCCAAATTTCCCCAACATTGTTTTGGAAACGACACCATCTATAGGTCCAAATATTAAATGCCTTCTTTTCCTGTGTACACTGAATCCAATTTGCGGCTACGGCTCATCAAAAATTACTTTGCTCGTTTCACTTGGTGCTGCTCCCACCACAAGATCTGCGCAAGCCCACTTTTGTTGAAGCAAATCAGAGGTCAAGTTTTCAGCAAGCATGTACTGGACCAGATTTGTATGGCGTCTGGACCCTACTCGACTCTTCCATCCCGACTAGATGAACAGGTGGACATTGATTTACAGGATTCAGTCTACCACAAACCAAATCAACCAACGCTTCTGACTACACTCAGTCATCTCATCTTAGTAAAAATGGTCAACTGTTTCTTGTTTTTAGTTGTTGTTGTTGTTTTTTTGCAGGGGGGAGGGTGGGGGTTGACAAACTGGTAGCCCACAAGTTCCATTTTTGTACAGAACAATTGCAAACCTTCTGCATTACAATTCAATACCTCAGCTAGGTGTGGTGAAAGAACCTAATCTGTCTTACACTCTCAGCAAACACAACTGCAGGCATGTTATTCACATTAATTGTGAGCAACAAAGTGACAGTGATAGTGATAGGTATGTCACTGAAAAAAATATAAAGATTATAATAATGATCAAAATAATAATGATAATAAAGCTACTTAGAGAACCTAAACCGATGGGTACCGGGAAAGATTAGGGCGACATAGTTTTTTTAAAGAACATCCGAGCAAGGGAATGAATAGAGAACCATAGTCGCTGATGTCTGCCCCAGATCTGGCACTTGATGAAAAATAATGATAATAATAATAATAATAATGGTAACAATAACAATAATACTAATAATAGTAATAACAATAATAACAAAATATTAATAATGATAAATAATGCAGATCATTTCTTTGGCACCCACTCCTGTACAACTCAGCTGCAGGTGCTTTACAATACCTTCATCTTAACAAAAAAATACATGTCATGATTGTGAATACACATGTATGCTCTATAGATTAACGTCAACACATAGGCAGACACTCGTATCATAACAGTCGTTTCATGCAAGAAAAATTCTGAAATTATGCAAACTGAGCCCAAAAATGTGAAATTATGCGATTTTGTTCATTTTAACAAAGAATGATAAAGGAAAAATAATCAGAAATTTTACGCAAAAAATGATCAAACTTTGCTAAATTATGCGGGGCGCATAAAACCATGGGGACAGTCATATGTGTGTACTCTCACAACACATTCAATGACGAGGTGGACGTCACGTTGTGATCGAGGATCAAAAAGGGTCGGAAACAGAACCAGAAGGAAATGTGGCATAGAGAGGAACGTGGCGTCAGTGGCCTAGTGGTTAGGCTCTCGGACTCGCAACCATAAGGTTGTGGGTGCGAATCCCGTCAGGGGCCTGACGTTTGAGTCCTTGGGAAAGGCACTTTGCGCAAATTGTCCTCACTTCACCCAGGTGGAAATGGGTACCCGGCTATAGGCAGTGAACGATCTTGTCAGTTTAATAGTGTTTGAGCGCGTGAAATCTGCAGCTTGCACTGTATGCTTCTGCGGAAGCTGAAAATGTTTCTGAGTGTTCTCAGAAGGTCTAATGGGGTAATAATAGTTGTAAAGCGCATAGAGCATGCTCTTGAGCATAGATATGCGCTATATAAATGCAATTATTATTATTATTATAAAGTATGAGAGAGAACTTCACGACACAATCATCTCTCGCCCACCACCATCATCATCCTCATTTTATTGCACAGCTCACAACGCAACTATTTCCCCCCCCCCCCAGTGCAAAAGTATTAAACACAAGAGCTCTTCACATGCTGCACAAAAAAGAACCCCACACACACACAAAAAAACAACACTTTGCATATGCATGCCACATACTCTAATACATCAAAAGGAGCACAAAATGAGTTCAGAAGCTTCTTCTGACATACATATATGCATAAAATTTGTAAAAATTCAACAGTCATAATTCAGTAAGTCAGGGGCGGAGGGGAGGGGGGGGGGGAGGAGGCACACACGTTGGAGTAGAATACGAAGATTCTGAGTCACATTCAGAAGACAGCCTTGTACAAGAGTAAATGAGCGAGCGATCTTAGTAGTAATTTTATTTTCAGTGATCTTGGCTACGTGTGTCCGAAGACAACAGCCTGTGAACAGCTGGCTCAACAACTAACAACACATTCAACATAAGATATTCGCGGCACATTCAGCAAATTTGTGTGTGTGCCAGGACAAATGTCCCGTTTAATGGAAATTGAGGATACTGAAATAAGGACAGATTATTGCAGCAAGTACAGGTTGATTTTTGACCATGTTCAAATACTCTGAGTGGTTTTAAAGATATGCTACATTTTGTAACACAGGGTGTAAAAACAAAGTTTGAAGAAAACCCCAATTTCTAGCACATTTCAACCTTTGGTGAAGTACAACATGTTGCTAAAATAACTTTAACAAATATTTAGACTTAAAATATTATAAAGTGCCTCTCCTCAATTTGCATGCTAACTCAGATGAGACAAAACAGCTTTTTATCACACTCTGCAGAGTCATAACAAAATCTCATGCTTAAATTCTGACATCTTTTCCCCATTGTTGTATGACATTTAATATCACCTTTTAAGAAGAGTGTCCACCAAAAAAGGTTATATTATCAATGAGGAAGAAATAGATAAAAATTACAGTCAGTAAAAAATGCAGGAACAAAATATTTACAACAGAGGCTAACCTTCACCCCCCCCCCCCCCCCCCCCCCCCCCGAACCAGTTACCAGCAATCTGTGACCTGCCATAACACCATCAAGTTCATAACAGGTTCTGAATCGTCAATACAACACTGTCCATATACTGATCAATGAATGTAAATACAGTGAAATCTGCTTAAATTTGAAAACAGTTAATCTGAACACAACCATGAACCCTAAACAAAATTGAACCCTTGATTTTTCTTTCTCCGCCATTTGAGCAATCTCTCTAAACTGAGAGCACGACTAAACAGAACTGAATCTTGTGGTCCCGCAGATTTCCATTTAAGCGGACTCCATTGTATTTTATAAATTGTGTAATTCATATATATTTTTTCTCAGGAAGGGGGTGCGGTTCAAGAAAAAAAAAATGATAAGTAGACATGAGTTGTTACTTTGAAAGGCTTAGTAATGCTTTGACAAATCACGTAGACCTATATCTCATTGGTCCCCTGTACAATGTGATGACAAGTTAGTTATAAAAAGTATGCAAACTTTTTTTGCGAGTCGAACGCCCATATCAGTTCTTCAAAGTCTACGCATTGACGCAATGGCAAGACTTTTATGGAAGTTCTTCCTCTCATTAAAAGTATTGAAAAAAGGATCATACTAATAATAGCTTTCTAAAGCTATTTGATTGTTGATGAAACTTGGAATAAAAAAAGATATTTCATCAAGATCAGATTCAGTAATAATGCCACAGGGATATACAAAGGGAGTTCATTGGTATAAAGCGATGGCGAAACATGGGGGCAAAATAAGGAGCACATCTTCCTTATTTTTGCTACGGGTACAGCCATAAAGGAAAGAAACTTGATGTTAAATGAAATAGTTACATTAATACGAATGACTGTCTCTTCCATACAATTTCAAACTCTTTTAAGAAAAAAAAAGTTCCAGAAAGAATGCCCTCATTACGGAATATAGCAAAATTATGCATGAAAGTTTTCCTGACCGACAGCAAGTCACCAGCGCCCCATGCAATGAGCACAACTCTAGACACAGGGGCACTTATGGCACTCCTTTTCTCAAGCTACAGCATTTTGAACAAAGAAAAGCAATGCTGATTTTACCAGCATAACGGTTTAACATTTTGGGAGTTCAGATTGTATCTTGAGAAGTGGGTTTTCCCTTTACAACATGTTACATAGTTTTGAGAAAGTGGATGGCATGCTTTGACAATGACTGAAACACTGCTCCGACTGCTGTCTTTCATGTGAGGCATTAAGGCAAAAAAACTAAGGATGCCAGTACTCTCTCTCAAAGGCGAAATATGCCGAGTGGAAACATGTATGCCTTGATTGGTTTTTTTACATAAACAGCCAAGCAAGTATTAAAGATTGTTATTACTGAAAAGAAAATCAAGAGCTACTCTATGAGGTAGTCATAACAGCTTTCCTAACATCCCAGCAATATACTTCTTCTTCTCTCTCATCTCTAAATGTGAGGCATCGTGGTGAAATCAGGCACTTGTCAAAATAATGAAATTGTGTAGATTTTACTGAAAAACTTTGATCAAAGGCACACAAATTGTAAATTTGTAGTTTCCAAGAATACTACAGCTTTTGACGTCACCAAAACCTTGGCAGCCATTTTCTAGCTAATTTTACCTCTGATGACAGCCTCGAATCACAAACATCTCAACTTCTATTCAAGATAGATGGGCATTTGTCCCATCAAAAGCAAGGCAAATGATTGGACCTTAAGATTATGCCAATAACGCCTTATGTTCAAAAATTGATGAGCGCCTGATTCCACCCCGCTGCGACACAAATGGACATCCCAGTCTCTGGTGCAAAGGCTACTGTTCGCCACAGGTCCTCCAGGCTCCAGTACAGTTCTGCGTCTCCCTGCCTAGGGATGGGCCAATATTTTCCTTCTAAGGACAATTTACTGAAGCACTTCATTTGAGACATGAGTCCTTGGATCAGTTGAAGAATTTATTCTTTGTTAACACATTTCATTGAGAGCTGTGCAAGGTCACTAGCTTGTTTTCATGATTACTTGGGTATTTTACGAAAAACTTCTAATGTGAACTTCTTCGTAAAATTTAAGAAGTTTAAAACCCAGTTAGGAATTTCTGAAATTCTGACATTTGATCAAAACAAAACAAAATTCTATCAGCTATTCAAGCATAAAAAGGACATTTTAATGAGTTTGAATACAAAAACTTTCCACAATCTATTGTTTTATTTTTTGACTCACCATTATCATTTTGTTTGGCTGGAGTGACATACACATGACAAGTCCAACATTTGTGAGGCAGTGTGGTGAAATCAGACGCTCATCAAAATACAGAAATTGGAGAAACAGGCATTTTTCGGTCAGTTTGGCAATTTTTATCGATTTTTTATTTTTTGGCCCAACCTCTTTTATGTCCATATATAAAAACACAATTCCATTTGAATTTTACTGAAAAACATTGATTAAAAGCACAAAATATGGCATTTTTCTGTTTTCAAGGACTCTTTAGCTATTGGGGCTACTAAACTTTGGCATCCATTTTCTCGTTAATTTTACCACTGAAACTAGGCAACCACACTTCCTTCAATCGCAAATATCTCAACTATTATTTAAGATAGATGAGTAATTTTTCCCTTGAAAGATAGACAAATGAACACGCTTTAAGATGACAACAATAACCGTTCATGCCCGAAAATTGACGAGCACCTGATTCCACCGCGTCCTGACACATTTGAGTTATATCTAATCCAGGTATTCCAGTGCCAGAGAAAGAAATCCATAAGGGTAGTAAGACTGACTCAAGAAAAAACCGGTATAAAATCAGGAAAAGGCATAAATATCAGTAAATGCCTGGAGGCCATTCACCTGTGGAGAAAACTCAATATCAAACCAAGAAACAAGAAGTAATCATACTCCTTTCACTTTTACATCCAGAACAATGAGCACTCACACTTTTTTCAATTTCAAACCCAGAAATGATTTGACCTCATACTCCCTTCAAAGTCACGTTATATCAAGGCATATTCTGTGCTGTCTGACGATTTGCGTGCCCTATCATGTCCGCTTTCAATCACCATGGCAACTGCCTCCGTTGTTAGACAGCCTGGGGCAAAGACAGTTTGACCTTGACTTTGATTTCGGCTCGGCACAGCGGGCACTCGCTGAGGGGCTGGGCGCAGGCTGTGCAACAGCACACATGGCCGCAGGGCAGGAAAATGATGTTGGACTGTGGAACAATAGCACACTCACAGAATGAGGAGGCAACGAGAGGGCAGGAAGATGATGTTGGCACAGAATGAAGTTTTTTCGAATGAGTTTTATGGCACTTGCAACACAATAAGGTCATTTAAGTGCCGAAGAAGAGATGTGTTACAAGAGAGTAGCATACACATAAAAGAAGGAGGAGAGATAAGGACGACAGATGTTTGATAGGAAAGAAGGAGCAAACGACACCAGAGCACCCACCAACAACCCACAATGAGGAGACACTGGGAGGTCAAGAAGATCATGTTGGCTCAGAATGAGGAGATTGGATTAGCACATGTCTATTCCCGTACAAGAATTAAAACTTTACTAGCACGGGAGGAGCCCTTTTTTAAAACTCCGGTGGGGATTTTTAATCCAAGCAAAATAACAAAACAAAAACAAAAAACCCTTACCATCTTGTCCAGGCAGACAGCACACTCTGAGTTGACCCCGCGGGCCGTGATGGACGACTGGCGCTCCAACAGCGAGGGTGGGAGGGCCACGGACTTGCCAGCTGGGTCTGCTTCCGCGGCCGATGAGGGAGCCGAGGGGTGAAGCTCCAGCGGGGCTAAGCAAGGCTCCTGACAAGTGGAGAGACAAAAGGAGGGGATGATAAGGTGGTGGTGGTGGTGCGGGGGTTTGTCGTGTTGGGTAGTTAGTTATAGCAGCAGCAGAAAGCAGCAGCAGCAGCAGCAGCAGCAACAGCAGCAGCACTAATGTTGGTGGTGGTGGTGGTGGTGGTGGTGACAGTGGTAGTTTGAAAGTGCCAGAAAAGTTTTAGCGATGCAAATGTGAACTGTGGCAGGTGGAGGTAGTAGTAATAGTTGAAGTAGCAAACACATACACACACATACACACACATACACACACACATACAGACACAGAGACACACACACACAGGCAAATACAGGCAAACACACACACATACACACACACACACAGGTAAACACACAAACACATTCACACGCAGGAAAACATAAACACACACACACATTCACACACGGGCAAACATACACACACATACACACACACCTTCACACGAGGAAAACACATACACACACACACACACACATACAAACACACACACATTCACACACAGGAAAACATATACACACACACACACATTCACACATGGGCAAACATACACACACATACACACACACACAGACCTTCACACAAGGAAAACACATACACACACACACACACACATGCATACAAACACACACAGGAAAACACACACACATTCACACACGGGCAAACATACAAACACACACACACACACACACACACACACACACACACACACACACACACACACACACACAACCCCCCCCCCCACACACAAACCCTAACAGTTCCACAGCCCTCACCTGTAGCTTTTCCCGCACCTTCTCCTCTCCTGTCTTAACCTGTATATCTTGCATGGCAATGTTCTTCATGATGGCCTTCCGCAGGCCCAGCTCGTGCACGCCCATCTGCGACAAGTCCGCCTCTGTCAAGGACATCAGCGTCTCGATGGTGATGCGGTGCCGAGCAAACACGGGGATGTAGTCCTCAGCCCCTGACGACACCAGTACCTCCTTGACAGCAATCTCCAGCTGGCTCTCCTGATTTAGCACAGGAAAGATAAGAAAAATAATAATAATAATAATAAAGATAATAATAATAATAATAATAATAATAATAATAACAACAATAATAATTATAATAATAATGATAAAGCCAACGTGGGACGCTCAATGTTAAAAACAATCAGGAAACGACAAATGCAGTTTTTGGGACACCTGAATAGACATAAGGGTCTTGAACATTTAGCTCTCACTGGCAAAATTGAGTGTAAGCGAGGCAGGGGTAGGCCCAGAACAACATACTTAAGGAACCTAAACAAATGGGTAAGAGAGAAAGATCAGAGAAACGTAGCTTTTTTTAGAGCATCCGAGCAAAGGAATGAATGGAAAACCATGATCGCCGATATCTGTCACAGATCTGGCACTGGATGATTATGAATAATGATAATAATGATAATAACAATAATAATAATAATCAGGGATGGAAACTGATCAGGCCAATATTTATTTAACTTTTTGCCGGCTATACAGATTTGGAAAAAAAACACTTCTTCAATTGCTGATCAGTACACACAGTAGAATGACTCACCATTGAAAGTAGGTAGACAGGCATCAGGGAAGGGAGGATGATGTGTTTTTTAAATAGTTTTAGTAGACGTTTTTCGGCGCTCGCAACTGCATAAAGTCATATGAGCGCCAGAAGATTAGAGGTGTTACAAGGGAGTAACAAACATGAAAAAGAAGAAGGGGAGATAAGGACAATAGATGTTTGATAGGAAAGAAGGAGCAAACCACACCAGAGCACCCGCCAACCCCCACGGATGATGTGCTTGATTCGCACTTATGGACAATGACGGAGCAAATCAAAATTACAGACTTCTGTAAATTTACGGAAAATTTCCATCCCTGAATAATAATAATAATAATAATAATATCAATAATAATAATGGTTTGTCTGTCCTGCCTGATGATGAGAACCAATACACCTGCAAAAGAGAATATTAATTCTCAAGCAAAATAAAAGGATTAGGAGAACTAAAGGTCAAGATGACTTGTGACTTCAGCTATGGCCGATGAGACCAATTCTAGCGGAGAAAAGTTGAGAAAACAAGATAAAAGCAAAGATAAATAACAAAATAAAGCAAAGATAAATCAAGATATGTAAAGACAAATAATGTAACAAACAGATAGATAAAGGCTATGTAAAGACAATTGATGTAAACAAAGAGAGTTCACTCACCCTGTCTATGAGAGCCTGCGGCTTCCAGTCCAGCAGTCTCTGGTACTGCACCAACCAGTAGTCAGCCTGGCCATCCTCGCGCTGTTGCTCCATCTCACCCTGAACACACAGGCAAACAAATAATCTCAAATTCATTTATTTAAAATTAAAAAAAAATTATTTTTTTTTGGGGGGTAAGAATTTTACGGCACTTGCAACACAATTAAGTCATGTAAGTGTCGAAGATTAGGGGTGTAACTACTTGAGAGTAACATACAAAGAAAAGAAGGAGGAGAGATATAGGCGATATATGTTCGATAGAAAAGAAGGAGCAAACCACACCAGAGCACCCGCCAACCACCCACCTTTTTTTGGGGGGGGGGGGGGGGGGCTGAAGAGTAGAGGGGTAACTCTACTTTAAAGTAACATGCAAAGAAAAGGAGGAAGAGAGATTTATAAGGATGACAGATGTTTGATAGAAAAAAAGGAGCAAGAGCAAACCAAGCCAGGCACCCATCAACAGCCCATAAACACATAGATAAACCCATGAGTTGACACACGACAGCAAATAACCTCAAGATAAAGCTTTATAGATTTTTTTTTAACATTGTTTTTTTTATCAAGCCCTCTAATCAATTTAAATAGAAAAAGGGTCAAAAGTGATAGCAAATACTTCAAGCATGATCACTCACTCACAAACTCACTCACTATCTCTCTCATCCATACACACACACAAACACTCACACAAACACACACACACCACACAAGCACACACACAAACTTCTTCTTTCATATTCACACTCATATATTTTTCTTTCCAAAAAATACAGAAGTAAAAGTCCAAAAACTCACCAGTCGTTTCTTCAGCTCTGCCTGTCTCTTCTCCTTCTCCTCCAACAGTTGTGACAACATGGCCGACAATGCAATCCTCTGGTCAGCCACAATGTTCTGTCAACACATCACAAAAAATGTAAGCCCTCGATTCAATTTTAATAGAAAAAGAGTCAAAAGTGATAGCAAATACTTCAGGCATGATCACTCACTCACTCACTCACACACTCTCTCACTCTATAATAATAATAATAGATATAACAATAATAATCATAATAATAATAGTTATAATAATAATACACACAAATCGCAGTACATATGCACGTGGACACAGATACACTAGACAGAGATACTTTTTAGTTTAGCAAGTGTTTTACGGCACTTGCAACAGAATAAGGTCATAGTCAGCTTGCTTTAGTTTAGTTTTAGTAGAGGTTTTTACGGCGCTCGCAACTGCATAAGGTCATACGAGCGCAAAGGGGTGGATGTCAACAGAGAAGTCCTTACAGGGAATCAGATTTACTCTGCTCACCTCTCTAGCTTCAACAGCACAAAGTCTGCTTCAACCATAAAGGCACCCCGGAAATAGCGGGTCACAAAAGTGTGACAAACATACAAAAGAAGTAGAGGAAAAATGACAATAGTAAGGATTAGGAAAGAAAAGGCAGCAGTTCCCTGTTGTAGTTCAGGCACACTTATGAACATGACATTGTTGGATCAGCCCATTTACAAATCTACTGATCATTACAACGAGAAATGTCCCCCCTTTGGGATTGGCCAAAAGACACTTCAGTCAGTGGCACGGCCCCAGGGGGTATGTCAGTTTGCTTGCTCCTATCAGCTCAAAGCAGACAAGAAGACAACAAAACATGACCGAATTTAGAGACGCTTGTAATAACCTAAATTCTAATCCACTTACAACAGATCTGTGTTCAATCTGTGCCACTTGCACACAAACACATACACACACACACACACACACACACACACACACACACACACACAAGAAACTAATGCATGTTCAGTAAAACACTCACACAGACACATACACAGATATTCATAACTAGCTGGGTACCCTTTCGATGAAAGGAATGATGAGTGCATTAACATCAACTGAAAGTCATTGGCCTACTAAATTTACTCTCTACTGGAATCGAGCAATAAATCTTGAGAGATGCAAAAAAGTAGAAGGTCTAGTTCTATACTCTCAAAACAAAATGCGCCTCCTAAAATATCACTTCTGCTGTGAAGGACAGCAACGCAGATTTGTTCTGATTCTCAGTGGACAAATCACAAAGGCCAAAGAAGGACGGGAACTCTTTGTCAAATATATTTTTCTAAATTCAGGAAATGAATAAATAAAGAATCGGGCTCTGTCATGGGAACTTATCTATCTTTTTGCAGATACTTGCCAACTTTCAATTTTGTAGCTGTCATAGTTTTATGGGAAAAGTGACACATGTGTTTCCAAGTTGCCAAATATATAATAGATATCACACATGTTGATGAAAACACACAGAAGCATACACACAAATCGAAGCACATATGCATGTGGACACATTAGAGACACTTTCATCAATGCACAACATATACACATGTATGTGTTCACACACACACATAGACACACAATATAATATACCCACATAACAACATACACATGCATGTGAACCAGACACACTGAAACTCAGACAAACACCACAACATACCCACATGTGAAGACTGATGCACAAAAACACACACAAGTGGACACACAAACATAAACACACACAGTTTTAGTTTTAGTAAGTGTTTTACGGCACTTGCAACACAATAAGGTCAAATAAGTGCCAAAGATTAGAGGTGTCACAAGAGAGTAACAAACACAAACAAGAAGGAGGGAAGATAAAGACGATAGGCGTTTGATAGGAAAGAAAAAGCATACCACACCAGAGCACCTGCCAACCACCCACAAATACACACAACAAGGAAGTCTTTGAAATAAACTAACAGTATCTAACGATCAGACTAACTTTTTTCTTTCATTCGTACACTCATACTCCACATTCATCCTTCACCCAGCCACTTTCACATGTAAACACAAACACAAACAAAAACAAAAACATATCCTTTCATTTACTCTTATCAACTCACACACTCACTCCGCCACCCACAAACCCGAACACACACACACACACACACACACACAAACCCACAAACACACACACGAACACACACACAGGTCCACTCACAACACTAGTGTCCCCCCCAACCCTATTAGTGGTGGGCATATCGAAATCGAAATATCTATATTTTTACACATATCGATATCGTATCTAAGCAGTGAGAAAAATATCAATATTTTACTATGATATGCACACCACTCAGCACTGCATTTCCAGGAATTAACAGACTGATTTTATGTTGTTCCCCACAATAAAACACAATTTTTTTTTTAAATAATCAATTTAAAAACAAAACAAAAAACCAGAAAAAACAACAAAATAGAAGACAGCCATGTTTCGCGTGTTCATATTATCGACCAGACTCGAAGATACATCGATATATTTGATAGCGAATTTCAATTTATCGATAATAATTTTGTTATATCGAAATGTCCACATTTTTGTGTGAAAAAATATCGATATCATATCGAATTCAATATTGCTGATATCTCCCATCATTACACCCTAAACATACACCCACACACACAAGTCCACTTATAATCTGGAGTCTCCCCCC